AGTGCCGCTGGTCTCTGCCCACGCAGCAACCCACCAAGTCAGCGTACCCGTACCCAGCACAGCCGTGGTGAGGCACCTGGACATGGACAAGCTTCCCCTTTACCCAGGTGTAGTAACCATTTATCGTGGGTGGGCTGTGCTGTTGATTATTTGTTGTGGGTGGGCTGCTGGACTAACAAGGGCACTGACCGGCAGGAGGTCAGATACCCTGTTAGTCTGTTTGAAAAAGGGGAGAGATGTGACGAGACCAATCTCGCCACATTGCATTGGAGAAGCCTGGTTGCTCGCCTGCTGCCTTTGGACTATGGCCCCCTTTTAAAAGACTTTATTTTTCCATGCAGAAAAGCTGTATTCGTGCTTTTCTGCCGGTTGTTCGGTAGTTTCAATCTACCAAACAACCGTACGAATGACTGGACCACCTGGGAGCTGGAGTGTGCCGGCAATTAACCTCCCTGAAGCTGCGGTTAACCGCAGCTTAATTGATGAACGCTGGGTGGCCGCCGTTCGTATCCCGAACACGAGGTCGCAGCCATTTTAAACCATACAAATGAACAGCGGTGTTCGCCTCTATTTTCATGGAACTAAAATCGGACACAGTTTTGCGCGAACACCGCTGAAGCCGCCGACCTCCCTTCTTGTTCGGTGAAAGCGCACGAATGACCCGGTGTTCGGTATTTTTGTGTGAATGTATACCCCAGATAGGAATCCCATGGAGCCCATTCGTATGAAACTGACTGTAAAGACTTTGGCTCCATGGCGATTGAACTGTATTCGTGTAGTCTGAGTGCCATTCACCTAATAATGTGCACTCAGACCTGAGCTATCTGGGGATGTGTTACATGCCTGTGTTTAATGTAGTAAATGTTACTCTATGTATTTTAAAGTATAATGCTGTTTTTGTGTTCCCACGTGTGTAATGGAGTTTTGCCTTTGTCTTGGGAGATAATTGAGTTACTTTCCAATTATCTCCCAGGGCAGAGGGGAGGAAGCCAGGATGCATTGTGGGAATATACTGTGACTGTGTGTCCTTTTTGTATACTTGTCTGTCCCTTGTCACAGTCTCCCATTTGGTCCCCTAGGGGAGTGTCCACCAGGTGGGAGACCTGCATAAAAGCTGGGCAGGTAGCCCTCATTAAACAGACCACTGCTTGACCCTCAACACGGAGCCTTGTCTCGTTCTTGGGGGGATTCACTGTATGCTGTTGGAGACTGATTGCCAGGAGTGTAAGCCGCTTGGGAGCTTTTCCTGTTCGTCTGCTGGCAGCTATTCGTGAGGTTCAAGTTCGGGAGTTGGAGTGCTATTTTGTATCCAGTTTGGGAGTTTGGTGTTCTGCAGTAGCTGTGCCTGTATCTCTGGAAAGGGGGCTGATCGCCTAAACGGTTTTTACCCCTTGTGTGCAAAACGGTCCGTTACACACTCCAAGATACTATTTGTCCTGACTCCCAGTCAAAAATGGGATTGTGAGAACGTAACCATGTGTACGCTAACACAATGTGAGAGGAAGGAGAGGTGATGACCTGAAACCGAATGGTCTCTGAGTGTGACATCCCTGTATACACATGCAATGGTTCAGTTTCATGTGTGATAACTGGGGAGCATAATGGTCTACCATTTATGGCCTCAACGGCCATGGGTGTCTTCTTCTCTCTAATGGGTATGTTGTTTTTCCTAACAAATCTAGAGTCTATGAAATGCTCAGCTGCCCCGGAATCAACCAGGGCTAGTATGTTTCTTGCTATGCAATTATTTTTCAGATGCAGAGAAACAGGGAGAAGTAGTCGATTAAGAGGCAATTTTGGGGACTTAGATATCACACCCAAGGCCAGTCCCCTATATGGCCTCAGGTGCAATAGTTTTCTGGAAGCACGGGACATTCTTTTAGCATATGACTCTTCTTACCACAGTATAGGCAAAGTCCCTCCTTTCTCCTATACAATTTTTCAGCATCAGAGAGTTTGGTAACCCCTAATTGCATGGGTTCCTCCTCTGATACCTTTGAACTCTCAGGATTAGCAACTCTAGGAGTAATAAACGTAGCAAAACGTCTATTCCTATTCTTAGTATAGAGTCTATCACAAATCCTATTATCTAAATCAATAAGATAGTCGATAAGGTCCTCTAATGGGATAGGAAGATCCCTAGCTGCTACCTCATCCAATATAGTATCAGATAGACCTTCCATGAATGCTGTAGTTAGCCCATTGTTGGTCCAATCTACCTGCGAAGCAAGGGTACAAAACTGAATAGCATAATCAGCAACAGACCTAGAACCCTGTTTAATTCTCATTAATGCCCTCTCTGCATTCTTTGACCTTTTAGTTGTGTCAAAGGTTCTACAAAAGCCGTAAGGAAGCTATCGAAATTATGCACCATAGGTCCATTAGCCTCCCAAATAGAATTTGCCCACTCAAGTGCTTTATCAGTAAGTTGGTGCATAAAGAATCCAACTTTAGACCTGTCAGTGGGAAAGGAACGTGGATACATTTCAAAGTGGAATTCTACTTGATTAATAAATCCCCTGCAAGACTTAGCATCCCCTCCATACCTAGGTGGAGGGGTTAAATGTGCAGAAGCATTAGGCATGGTGGATACATCTAGAGCAAGGGGTGCAGTAGGAGTTGGTACTGTTACCGGAGTAGTTCTAGATAAGAGTGTCTGGAGGGCCTGAGCTATCTGATCCATACGGTGATCCTGCTCTGTAAATCTAGCCTCATGAGAAGCCAATTGCTGACTTAAATCTGCGGGGTCCAAGGCCCTATCGCAATGTCACGGTAGTTTACCGCTACACGCAAGATTTAGTCCAACAATCGACAGGTAGAGCAGATACGGCTTACTGGACCTTAGAATGGCCGGACTTGCCGTATAGCAGAGAATAGACAGAGTCAAGAATAAGCCGAGGTCAAGGGAACAAAGAGACTGCGAGAACAAAAATTAGCCAAGGTCTGGTACACAGTAGTCACTAACCCGGCACACAAGACAAAACAGGGATAGAGAGATAAACGGAGTCAGAATCAAAGCCAAGGTCAAGCACGAAAAACACAACTGAACACAACAAGCGCTAAAGGGAACTGAAACAGAAACCACGATAGGGCAGGGAGTTCAGGGAGAGGTAAGTATAAATACCCTAAACTTTACTTTGATTGGCCCCTGTCATATCCATGCCCCCAAAATGTGAGTGTCTGGGGAATGTGGGATGACAGGGGCCAATAGGAGACCATTGTATTATTTGGCTCCCACTGCCCCTTTAAGAGTGTGCCCGAGACACCCGGCGCGCTTTTAGAGCTAGGCGGGACACATAACCGCATCTCGCGGTCCGTGCCCGCCTTCATTCGAGAGCCGCGCGCGGCGGGAAGAGAGGACTTCGGCCGGCCCCTGGGTAAGGTAAGTACCGCTACAGTCTGTCAATCTCGCATACACAATTCTTTCAAGGATCTTGGATGCAAAAGGCAATAGCGAGATAGGACCATAGTTGGATGGGGAGTTAAGGTCAAGATTGGGCTTCTTTAGAATTGGGGGTACAGTTGCATGTTTGAAGGGTGATGGAAATATACCAGAGGAGAGAGAGAGATTGAGAATTTTAGTGAGAGGTGGAGAAAGAGAAGAAGACAGAGTACGGTTGAGATTTGGATCTAGGGAGCAGGTGGTGGGGCGGGAGGACTGGAGCAGAGCAGAAACCTCTTCCAATGTAGCGGGTGCGAATGAACATAGAACAGCAGAGGAGTGAAGTTAGGGGAAGTATTGTAAGGGGAAGAAGCAAGATGAGAGATCTCTTCTCTGAAAGTAGAGATCTTGTCAGTGAAGTGGGTTGCAAAGTCTGAGGCGGTCAAGTTAGTAGGTGGAGGGGGAACAGCAGGGCGAAGAAGAGAGTTAAATGTGTGAAATAGTTGTTTGGGTTCGTGGGAGAGTGTGGTTATGAGGGTATTGAAGTAATTAACTTTTGCAGAGGAATAACTTTGTAACGGAAAATAACTTTGTTTGTTTGTTAAATAACTTTGTAACGGAAGCCAAAATATTCCTGACACTATTATCTTAAGATCAGCTCTGGAAACAAGCCAGGTGTGTGTGTCATTCTGTAAGTATTTGCTTAATGATTCACTTTGCCTTTTTCTTTCTACAGGTATTTTAATCTCGATCATTATTGCAATCATGGTTTTTTTCTCTGGTATACTGATAATCAGGAGATACCGGTTTCTAACATTTAATGTGCTACAACCTAAAGTTCTGGTGAGTGTAATGGCCTACTTGTTGCTGTTGGGAGTCAAAAAAGTGTGCTACCCACACTTTTGTTTATGCTTATTTTAACTTATTGCCTTATTGTCCAGGGATGAAATTATATCACCTTATGCTTGGAACATGCAGGCAAGTGGCAGGGATGCCAGGTAGATTGCTGCAGAGCAAAGTAGTATGAGGTCTGCTATACTAGAAGCTGCAGACCACATTAAAGGACCACTCTAGGCACCCAGATCACTTCAGCTTAATGAAGTGGTCTGGGTGCCAGGTCCTTCTAGGGTTAACCCATTTTTTCATAATTATAGCAGTTTCAGAGAAACTGCTATAATTATGAATGGGTTAAGCCTTCCCCCTAATCCTCTAGTGGCTGTCTCATTGACAGCCACTAGAGGCGCTTCTCACTGTGATTTTCACAGTGAGAGCACGCCAGCGTCCATAGGAAAGCATTGTAAATGCTTTCCTATGAGACGGCTGAATGCGGCGCAGCTCTTGCCGGCGTGCGCATTCAGCCGGCGGGGCGTAACGGAGGCGGAGAGGAGGAGGAGAGCTCTCCGCCCAGCGCTGGAAAAAGGTAAGTTTTTACCCCTTTCCCCCTTCCAGAGCCGGGCGGGAGGGGTCCCTGAGGGTGGGGGCACCCTCAGGGCACTATAGTGCCAGGAAAACGAGTATGTTTTCCTGGCACTATAGTGGTCCTTTAATCACATACTCGTGGTCTGGTGCGCTCTAGAGAGTCAGAGCACAGCTGCAAAAAAAAAAATCCCAGAATGCTCTCTGACTCAAATAACAAACGCTAGGACCGGGAAGGAGTGATTTCTGAGGTCTGCATCAGCCACTCACAGGCCCCCACTACAACACCAAGGATCCAGGACCACCATAAATAGTTAACCGCTGCTGGTCCACCAGGAATTATGGCTGCATGTGATGTGTGTGGATAGGAATACACATACATCACATGCAGCCAGCACAGCACACACACATTGAGCACTCACTGCTCAGCACACAATGACACAAAATCAGCACAAATCACACACACACTATGACAAATCAAGAGACCATGGGAGGACATAGGGTAAGACACTCAAGGGTAATTCACAAACTGAATTTTTGCAAAATTATTCCAAATGGCAAAACTGAGGCAAAAATAGCTGTGTTGTGACTATAGTGGAAATAGAGAATTTAGCAGTTTTTCGATTCAGATTTCATTTTTGAAAAGTTTAGCTGTCAATATACACGGCCCCAATATTTGTACTGGAAATTATTAGAACAAGTAGATTGGGATACTTTTTTAATCCATTGGACAAGTAGATTATTAAAAATTCGACACCCCTTGTCTGAGATTAAACATTTTACTTGTCCCCGTATATTATATATACTTTGTTATTTATTTGCAAATTATTTTGTTGTTTCTGCTATTTCTAAATACTTGCTAGCAGCTGCTCATCTGCTAATATACCATACTCTGAGCTGTGTGATAGGATATAAATATCAGAAGTCATCTGAATTTTGGACTAAACTGCAAGTCATTTGAAATTTGAGCCAAACTGCAATCATCTGAATCAGGAGATTGACTGAAATTCTGATTTCTGAGCTTCCAGTGTTGGGAATCTTGGAGACATCGACCCGTGTGAACCTGAACATGTATGGTTTATTTCTAAGTTCTGAATGTGGTTGCTTGCAACAGAAAGGACAAATGGAATGGGAAAAGTTTTGTTCTGTTTTTTGTGGATGAAAGCAAATAAGCCATGCCAGAAGGTCTGTCCAATCATGTGTGCTGGATCTCCTGTCCAATTAAGAGATACCAAAAAAAGGTGATTGACGGTTAAGGGGTAGCCACTAAATCTTGATTTTATTTATAGATCTAGCTAAGTAAAAAAATAATGTAAGTGAAAGAAAATCCTATTTAAAAAAATAAATAAAAATGTGTTCAGACCACAGTATGCTATGCAAGTGTATAAGGGATAATTGTAGGGCAAAATATGTATATTTGTAGTCGGGGCAATATAGCCGTATACAGAAATCTAGCATTTAATAACCATAACATCAATGAGTTGGAACCAGTCGGTTGTGGTGTGCCGGAACCGACAAAGCACCCTCTAAGTGGGCCTACCTTAGAGGGTGTTTATAAATAGAGGGAGTGGTGGTAGGGGTGACTCGCCAGACCAGCAACGGTAAGGTGGGAGTGGATTAGCAGCCCTTTTAAAGGGAATTCAAGCACCTCCTACAACTACAGGCCAAGCCTTCAAATTTGTAGTCGGGGCAAGATAGCCGTATACAGAAATCTAGCATTTAATAACCATAACATCAATGAGTTGGAACCAGTCGGTTGTGGTGTGCCGGAACTAACAAAGCACCCTATAAGTGGGCCTACATTAGAGGGTGTTTATAAATAGAGGGAGTGGTGGGAGGGGTGACTCGCCAGACCAGCAACGGTAAGGTGGGAGTGAATTGGCAGGCCTTTTAAAGGGAATTCAAGCATCTCCTACAACTACAGGCCAAGCATTCAGATTTGTAGTCAGGGCAATATAGCGGTATACAGAAATTTGGCATATAATAACCATAACATCAATGAGTTGGAACCAGTCGGTTTTGGTGTGCCAGAACCGACAAAGCAGTAGGCCTATAATAAAAGTGGGCAAAAGAAAATACCATAAGACGTAATACGGTTAACCAACTTTATTTATTTAGATAGGTCACAGAAAGCTTGTCTTAATTCTTTAACGGGATTAGGTATGTAGACTGTGTAGGCTGAGGATTTCCAGCGTCCCATCGCCTTGATAATGTGAGTGGGTACGTGATTAGCAGATGCTGTAGATGCCCCAATTCGGAAAGAGTGACCTGAGAAATGATTGGGGTTTAGGCCGAGCCTAGTCAACACTAGTCGTACATAAAGCATAAATTTTGTTGTAGTCAGAATGTTTCCATGCAGTTCAAGCAAAGGTTGTAGAGGTGGTTTGTGGAGTGAAAGAAAATAAGCGTCAAAAACTTGTACTGGGCACCATTTATTATGAGTAGGATACTATGGTGCTGGTTTTTGATTGTTTTAAAAATAGTAAGTAATGGTCATTATGCTTTTACAAGTCCATAGTTCTTAGGTAGTCGGAGGTTGTAATGGTCCCAGTCGTGAATTTGTTGGGACGGAGGAACCCATAAAAAGCTAAATATATAGCTGTCTTTATTACAGTATTAGTAATGGGTTCGAAAGGAGAAGAATCTAATAAATTGATTAGTGAATGGAATATGTTGTTGTCTATGGGTAGTCTTTGTGAGGGGACGTGTGCATCCAATTTTTTAATGCCTTTAAGTAGTGTCTTAATTTGATATGAGGTCAGGAAACCTGTAGCGTTGGGTTGTTGGATAAGCATGTGGTGCTGAATGCCCGTAAGGTACAGTTTTATAGTGTTGAATGATAATTTAAGGTTGATGTGGCAAAAAGAAGTGAAACCCAATATTGATTCTAATGTGAACATGTCGTGGATGTAGAATTCAGTGATGAATTTCTTGAATACGTGAAAAGCCCTGTCGTATGTGTTCCTGGTGTTTACTGAAAGTGCGAGGTGAGAAATGTGATGTGCGTGATCTAACAAAGCCTCTAATCCATTATCATGTCTCGGAAAAGTGGGACAGGAGTTGAGACAAGTGATCAGCACCAGTGTTTGTGCACCCCGGAACGTGGATACATGTGATAAAGAATTGACAGGTGGCCGCTACCCATGTGAGTCATCTTGGGAGTCTCATAATTACCAGGCATGCCGATCGGCCTTTATTGACAATATGGCATGCAGCCATATTATCCGAGTAGCACCTAACCGTGTGACCGGACCAATGTGGTCCCCAGGCAATGACCGCCAACACGACTGGGTACAGCTCAAATAAAGCTGAAGTCTTAGTGAATTTGGGCAGTGATTTGACTTTGGTCTGCCATGGTCCCCAAAGCCATTGATCTCCCCAGATGGCTGCAAAGCCTGTGTTTGCTGCAGCATCTGTCCACAGTGTAGGTGAAGCATCAGAGTGGGGTGGTATAAACATGGCTCACCAATTCCAAGAGGTGAGAAAAAAAAACCACATACGTAAATCAGAGGTTGCGCAGTCGTCTAACATGATACGTGAAGTGTCTGAGGTGAATTGTGGAAATAAGGATAGTAGATGTGAAATGAAAGATCTACCTTGTGGAATGATCCTCATGGCAAAGTTGAGCGACCCCAGCAGTGACTGCAGTTCTTTCCGGGTGAAACACCCTTGCAGTAGGTAGTGTTCGATGCTTGCCAGGGTACACTCCATTTTGTCCCGAGGGAGGCTAGCCTACATGTGTACAGTGTCTAGTTGTATCCCCAAAAATTGCATGTTGGTGTCTGGACCCAACGTATTGTGCGGGGAGACTGGGATAGTGAGGGATTCAAACAAAGCCAACATGTGTCTCAAACTACTTGGGGGGAGTGTGTTGTTCTCAATCGTGAGGAAATCATCCAGATAGTGAATGACCGAAGGACATTTACACACATTAAGTAACAACTAACACAAAGCCTCTGCAAATGTGTCAAAAATACGTGGGCTACTTTTGGAGCCAAAAGTGAGACGGGTGAAGAAATAATATAACCCTTGCCATTTAATGCCGTGAATGTGCCAAAGGGAAGGGTACATGGGAAGTAACTTGAAGGCATTCACTACCTCCGTTTTACTTAACCATGCTCCTGTGTCTGCTTTAATGATGGCACCTATGGCATGGTCGATAGTGGCGCAATGTTCTTCGGAAGGTATGAATGAGTTTAGGCTGGGGACCGTGGAGGAATGTGGTGCAGATAAATCAATGATCAGTTAAGGTTTGAGTGAGTTTTTCCCCGTGACAACCCCAATGAGGTTGGTTCTCCAAAATGTGAAGGGTGGTGAAAAGAATGGGCCCAACAAAAACCGTTGGTTCACCTCGGTCATGATAAGTTTATGTACCAACTATGGGTCATCTAATTCAGATTGTAAGTTGTCACATTCCAGCGTGCCTGTAGGTAAATGTATCAACCCGGTGTGAAATCCCTCAGTCAGTCCCGTAATAAGGTAGTTACTGAAATGGCGTGATGGGTGTAGTTGTAACAAAGCGAATAATGTGAGGTTCATGCACGTGAGATATGGTTTAGGAAATGCTTTATTTGGGCACATTGTCTTGGAATGGGCCCTGAAACAGTGTGAACATACATGCATAAACATGCAAGAGCTGAACCCACAATTACCCACGTTAAAATTATTGCAAACTTGGGATTTCCCTAAAAATACAATATCCCTGCCCGGTTTGTCTTTTAATCCTCTAGTAGGTCTTTGGAAGTCGGAAGCCGGTTGGTTTTGTTCAATTTCTGCCGAATTTGGGCAGAAATTGGTGCTATGTGTTGCCGATGCACACACTGCACAAGCTGGGGACCTGAGGCCTGCAGATTAGCTTAGTGTTCAATTTGTTCCAATTTATGCTTAAATTGAACTGAGCCAGAGCCGCAGCCACCTTTGCTGAGAAGGAACGGTGGTAATCGGAAAAAGCGGTACCACCGTATTTGTGCCCTAGGGAGGCAGAGTGGGGTGGTATAAACATACATGTAAGCATCCAACTCTGCTCTTTTCTCAGGGTACACTGAGCAGTAGACATCTCTATAAATCCCAAATCCCATCACGAATTCAGGGATGGACAATTTCTTATTCAGCCGGGGGTCTCTAGCCCTTAGTACTACTGAAATATCCCCGTATGCAAAGGTCCTGTTCTCTAGGACATCCTGGGAGCAATGAGACCATCCTTGCCTTCCAGAATGTCCTTTTTAGGTGAGATGGGACCATATGCGAGGGATTAATTGATTCTATAACCTCAATAGATTCAAAGGAATTATCGGGCATAGTATTAGTGAGAGGATGACTGCTAACCGTAGTATTTGCAGTGGACTGATTTGCACCACCAGCCTCCAATTTATCCAGCCTTTCACTAATTGTGCCAATGGATGCCATTAGAGAAGTCATCATGGCATGGAAAGCTGGTAATTGAGCCTCACTAGGGCCTTCCCCTGCCTCGGAGTTGTCGGTAGTAGTGTTCAGTAATCTTAGCAGTAGGTGGGAAAGGGATGCAGCATCTTCTGAGTTCTGCTGTGAGACGTGGGATGGTCCATGATTTAAGGGACGAAGGGCTATTCACATCTGCACCAGGCACAGGGGTACCAGGCCTAGCAGGTGTGCTGGGTAGTGAAAGTTCCTCAGGGATATCAGGAGTTTGTGACATAACTGAAAAATATCCTTGTAGTCATCTTGTAATGAATTTGGGTGGGTACTGCTGGGGCTAACTAAATACCAAGCGGTGAAACAATTATGCTTTGTGAGCGTGACAGATGAGTCCCTGCTAGTTGCCAAGCGTCACTATCTATGCGTGGGCCCGAGGGGAAAAATGAGGCCACCGAACGTTGTGGCGGGGTGTTAGCCTCTCGGTGTCAATTAAAGCATAAGAAAGAATGGGAGTGACAGGTGAGGCACTCTCTTTGCAACAGTGCAAGGTGGCTAGCTATGATTTGGCCCGAGGGACGCATACCTCCGAGTATGAGGATGTTGGCCTCGCGGGACCACTAGCCTATGGATTAAGACCAGAAAATATATACCTAATTGGGCCACATAACCTAGGACCAGTACCACTCTAAACATAGAAAGTAGTGGGTTCTGGCGTAGTACCTGTTTGTGAGTCAGGCCGAGCTGTCAAGGTAAACAGCGACTGTAATAATATCGAGGTGTTGATCTGTGGACATGAGATTTGATATATAAACGTCTGAGTGTAAGGTAGTAGTTTGGCCAGACCGTGGGCCCTAAAAAAAAAATAAAAAAATTACTTACCCGACACTATGCAGAGGGTAGATTTAAATGGAAGAAGATGACGGCTTCTGTGCTTGTAAAAGCTACCGCCCGACGTTCAAGAACCTAAAAGAGTAAATTACACACTTAACTAATTTAATATGTATCATTGGCCCCAAGAATGAATCATAATTAAATTCCAACCAACCTAGAAAGTAAATACAATTTGACACAGATGTCAGGAATCACAATTCCTAAGTACGAACCCCCTGGTATGAACCTGTGGGAAAAGGTCAGGAAAATCAGGTCACAACATCCAGGTTTCAACATTTATTTTCTTTAGTAGAATTTTATAAGTGACAGTAATAACGTTTGTAACCCGTAGGATCAAAATCCTCTGGAGTACTGGTTGAATTTGTGCCTATTTCGTGAGTTGTTGTAATCACCGAAAGAACTAGGTAGAGTGTTGAAACATATGAATGGATACATCCTAAGTGTAGTTCGAAAACCGAACGGAACATGTATTTGTATGTAACCGAATGATAGTGTTCCTTAGAATAAGTAATGTGAAACACGTGAGTAGATAAGGAAATTTAGCCGAACGGCATATTGTACGAAATTGAAAAGAACCGAACACTGGTTCAAATGAACGGGGCTCCGCCATTTAAAGCTAGGAAGTTTGTGGCAGTTCCTTTACGGCGGGCCTGACTTACGGTTTAATGCGGTGGCGAAGTAACAAACGGGCTGTGCGGACGCCAGCGACGGGAAGGAGAACCAGGGAAGCACCGGACCAGGAGTCCACGAGGAAGACAGGTAAGAAAATCCAAAATGGCGATCTGAACCAGAAGTAAATGTTTCAGACTCGCCAGACCAGCAACGATTGGCAGCCCTTTTAAAGAGAATTCAAGCCCCTCCCACGACTACAGGCCAAGCCTTCAAATATATAAATAAAAAATTTAAAAAGGTTTTCTCAATTCCAGACCGGTTTTTTTTCTGTTGCCAGGAATGGCACTCTGAATCAAGAATGTAAATGAGCAGTTCCCCCGAGACTCTGTCACACAATGGGCCCGAATATGGATGAATTTCAGTTCAGCTCAAATTGAATATCCAAGTCTATAAAGATAATACAAGTCTGTATTACTAAGGAGAAGAAGCAGAACAAGAGAGTAATAGGGCAGGCAGCAGGCCACCCATACTAGCTTCTCCACTACTACTAATAAAAGCACCACATTTAGGCAAAGCAGAATGGATGGTGAGGATAGTGCCAGTAGATGACACAGGCAGGTTGGACAGGAACTGTTGGACTCCTCATCATTAAAAAAGAAAAAAAGTTTCTAAAGAAGCCATCATCACATCAAGATACAGATCAGAGGGACTGGGACTGAGCTTTACCGGAGAGAAGCATCCAACACAGGGTCCACTTGCCTGCTGTTTTTAAAGGTTTTTTTTGTGAATAAAGGTATTCTGTTACACCTAGGGCCGGCCTTATTTAGGCACCCTGTGCGAAAAATCTTCACAGCCCACCCCCTCCCCCCCGTCATCCATGTATAGTGTGTGTATAGAATGTAGTGATTGTATAGGGGATTTATTAAATTAATAATGATTTAAAAACACATATTAATTCCTTCTTTCCTGTTGTTACCTAGTTGGGAAAGGGGAAATGCTAATCTGAATCTGGTCTGCCCCTCCACTGGGTACAAACCATGTGTAACTGTCTCGCAAGTTCAGGGGCTTGCAGTGGTAATCTGCAGCAATCCTGTGGTAATCTGTGGCAGCGCTCTGATTGGCCCGAGCTAGGAAGACAGTTACTTATGGTCTGCAGCCAACAGAAGTGCAGGCCAGAAGTACTAGACTGCCTCCTCTACATTACAGAGGAGCAGACTAAGTATGTCACATAATACTGTGAGTGGTTTTGCTTTGGAGCTCTGGATTATAATTATTTACCTTGATCTCTTTGGAATAAAAATTTGTAGTAATGCGCTACTTCTCCATTTATCACTGAGCTCCTCAGAAACAAAAATCC